AGTCTCCTGCCTCCGCCTCCCAAGTAGGTGGGACTACAGGCAGCCACCACAGTGCCCAGCCGTTTTTTGGTTGCAGCCGTAATTGTTGTTTGGTGGGCCCGGCTGGATTCTAACCCACCAGCTCAGGTGTATGTGGCTGGCGCCTTAGCCACTTGAGCCACAGGCACCGAGCCTTATGTCTTAATTTTTGTAGTCATTTTTATTTTTTTAAATAAATATTTTTGTTTATTTAATAAAAAATATTTTTAAAATATTTATTTATTATTAACAGGATTATACAATAAAAGTAAAGCAGTCATGGACTTAGAAGTTAGATGTAACCCAGTTTGTGTTCTTTAGGGGAAGATTAGTTGATGCCCTATTCGTATTGGGAGGAGAAAGAAGCTGATTCCTCTTATCTCAACCCACAAGAACTAGGTTTTTTTTTGTTGTTGTTTGTTTAATTAGTTAGTTGTACCCGTTGTTCTAGTTAATTTTAGAATGGCTCACTGTGTTTAAAGACCTTGGTATAAAGTCTTTGTAGGTAATAGGTCCAGGCTTGGTTAGGCACTTTTTTTTTTTTTCTGAGTCAGGGCCTCAAGCTGTCTCCCTGGGTAGAGTGCCCTGGCATCACAGCTTGCAGCAACCCAGCAACCTCCAACTCTGGGGCTCAAGTGATTCTCCTATCTCTGCTTCCCAAGTAGCTGGGACTACAGGTGCCTGCCACAATGCCTGGCTATTTTTTGGTTGTAGCTGTCATTGTTGTTTGGCGGGCCAGACTGGATTCCAATCCGCCAGCTCAGGTGCATGTGGCTGACTCCTTAGCCGTTTGAGCCACAGGTGCTGAGCCGGTTAGGCACTTTTATGTCTTTTTTCAAGTCTTTTTGGGATTCAGTCAGGCTCTTAGGACCTTTTCTTGGGGTCCTTTCTGGCTTCAGCCAGGCCTTTTCTTTGAAGCCCTCCCTGATTTTAGTGAGGCCCTTGTAGGCTTTTATTCTGAAGTTTTTTTTTTTTAGAGACAGAGTCTCACCTTGCCCTCAGTAGAGTGCTGTGGCGTCACAGCAACCTCTAACTCCTGGGCTTAGGTGATTCTCTTGCCTCAGCTTCCCAAATAGCTGGGA